CATGCATGTCTGTCAACCTTAAACAATAATCTTTGTCAATTTTATTTTTCAGTTTTTATGATGGTCGATACTTGATTTATCTCTTACTGTTATATTCCCGGGCAACGCCGGGCTCTACTGCTAGTCTCTAATATTAAAGAAAAAAAAACAACACTCAATAACATTAACTATGAACACGGCAACAGTGCAATTTAGATGTTGCAGTTGTTATTGTTGACGGTATATATATACTATTAGTGGTCAATCTCTCTCTCTCTCTCTCTCTCTCTATATATATATATATATATATATATATATATAGTGCGATGGGTAAATTGTCGCAACTTTATATGCGTTGCGTGCATGTACGTTGTTTGTTTTCGATTTTGTCGACTATACACTATAAAAGGTCAGTGTTTACCTATAGGATCAAGTGTAAACCGGACCAATGTTTATCTATAGTCTCAAGTATAAACACGATCAATATTTTATCACTGACTCGAGTATACACAGGACCAATGTTTATCTATAGACTCAAGTATAAAACCGACAAATGTTTATCTATAGACTCAATTATAAACCCAACCAATGTTTATCTATAGTCTCAAGTATAAAACCGACGAATGATTATCTATAGTCATAGCTATAAACCCGACTAATGTTTATCATGGTGCGCTTTTTCTCACAGACGGTACCTAACTGACCTTTTATAGTGTATAGTCGACAAAATCGAAAACAAACAACGCACATGCATGCAACGCATATAAAGTTACGACAATTTACCCATCGCACCATAAAAATATATATATGTGTGTGTATGTGTGTGTATGTACTGATTCCTTGTGGTGGGATGGTGTGTATGTGTGTGTATGCGTGTATATGTACAAATGAGTTTACTAATTCCTCGTACTAAGACAATATATGTATGGAGGGGGAATATACGCACGCATCTATACACGCATGCTGACAGAAACGCACCAAAATGGAAACAGATCCAAAAGCACATAGGGGTCAGTAAAACATTAAAAGATAAAATGCCGATAAGCAATTCATCATTTCGCTTGGACCAACCGTAATTGTTTTATGACCCTTCGCGCAGAAATTCGGATTACTAACACAGAAAATGTCTCATATCGAGAATATTTAACATTGAAAAACAAAAGAAAAAATTAATTATTTTTAATAATATGTGGAAATCTCCGCTTTTACCTGAAGACGGTCACGAGACCAGAAACCCGTGTAGTACAATTATGTAAAACAAAGCATAATATTTTTTCTAAATAAATCCACATTACAACCAAAAACGTTTGCGGCACCTGTCTTCTCTTTTTTTAATATACATACTTTTCTCTCGTTGGAACCATTACAACCTCTTTCTTTTATATATATATATATATATATATATATATAGAGAGAGAGAGAGAAGAGAGAATGACCACTAATAGTATATATATATATATATATATATATATATATATATATATTGATGTTCACTTCAGTGTCCATTTTTATATTTACAGAAAGTCTCATAATAAGTACTTTATTTACGTTACGGATACGAAAATAAATATAGCAAATATAGACTCCGAAATGTCCCAATTGTGAGCTTTTAGCTCGAAACATAGCATACTTAAAACTATATTCTACCATATAATTTAAATGTTAAAGTTGACACCGATATATATATATATATATATATATATATATATATATATATATATATATATATATATTCCGTTTATACGTTATTTGATATAGATAAGATATCTTTAAGTAAACGCTCTATTTTTTTAATTAAACAGTATTAATTACATTTACCGGCCTGAATTTTCGAAAACTTTCTTAGAAAATGTGTGCTTCTCAGTTAGGGCTCGAACCTGTAACCCTTAATGGGAAGCACCATTTGATCTGATGTCCTGTTAACCATTCAAGCAAAAAGAAGCGTCTGGTTAATAAAGTCTGAATTTCTCTTTCTAAACAGACACCTTCGACGATATTTGTAGATTGAGAATTGACTAACATAATTGTCGGAAGTAATCAATTTCATAATATATATATATATATATATATATATATATATATATATATATATATATATATATACAAGTATAGGATTGGTGTATACGGAGTAAATTCCAATAACCAAAAAAACTATTCTTAAAACAGTGCTCAATACAGAGTAAAAGCAAATATAATTTATTCGAAAATTATAACATAAATAGGTTCTACATTCAACACTATCACTTGATAAGACACCAGAGGTTTTGAAACAAAATGTTTATTTTTTGTAGTGATTTTATAACATATGTTATAATTTTTAATAAATGATAATAAATATATATATATATATATATATATATATATATATATATATATATATATATATATAGATGATGTATCAAAATACTTTTACAAACTTTGGTGGCAGGTTCCTCACCCCCCTCACAAAAAAGAATTATACGTTTAAGGATTATATGTATAACCGCCTCAAAGTCACTAATTATTTATTTTATTTTCTTTTCTGTATATATATATATATATATATATATATATATATATATATATATATATATATATGTTTGGTTCGCCTATCCTCCGATTCATACTCCTCCCCGGTCTTTTGAACAGGAGTTGCGGTTTATCCGTTCTTTCATGTTTTTTTGGTTTTCTGGTTCATTCTAAAGTCTATTTCAGGTCTCCTTACGCAAATACAACTCCACACAGCAACATTGAGTGACTCTTAGGCGTTGTATTTGGTGAATATTAGCTTAAAAAAGAGAAAAGTCAACGCACCGGGGAAAATGAATTACATATCACAAAAAATTTCAAGATAAAATTTCACTGTTTAAATTCATCTCAAGCTACGGAATTACTGATCCACCTTACTGGATAGTTGTGTGTTTTTGGCATTTGGAATGCATGCCTAGCGGCGAAAATTTCAGGCGTCTGTTTAGATTAAATTAATTATGTCTGGGATTTCCCCATTTGATTAAGAAACGACACTGAAAGGCTGTCAGGTGTTTTACGTCCTGCGGGGGAATGAGACACACTATTAGTTGGCTTGCTTGTGTATAAACGAGTTACTATTTTCTAATATGAATAAGTGTACAGTATTTGAGGGAACACTGGTTTTTCTTAGAAATTCTGAAGATTTCTGACCGAAAAAAAAACTCCTAGATAATAATAATTAAGTGTAACACGAAAAAGCAGAAAAGAGCAGATGAAAAGAGAAAAGATAGGAAATATGAAATTTAGAAAAAAAAATCTAATCATTAGAGTGAGTGGAATTTTTGACGTATTTTTTTAAAAATAAATCCTATCCATTATATATATATAATCATTATAGTGAATGAAAGTACTGATGGATTTGTTTAATAAATCCTACCCGTTATATTAATAAATTTTGTATTTTTGTTATCCCTCCTAAACCCTGTCCCGTGATTCAATTACACAATCTCGTTACGTATGTCATACACTATTTTCCTTCGTCTCTCTTGACTTCAATATGTCACGGGAGTGTCAAATTTTCCAAGCCCTTTCACCTCATTATGTGTGCTAGAAATTTCAACGATCTCTTTCTGATGTTAAGTATTAGTAAACATTTTGCTTCCATTTTGTCTAATATTTCGTCGTTGAACATAGTGCAGCTGCTATATATTTAAAGATTCTTGATAAAATCCCAAGAAGAATTAGCAATATTATTGGTTCTGACCTGGCTTCTTGGCTTCAGCCATTTTCCGACCGCCGTAATGTAGCTTCCCTATGCTTTTTCTATAAATACTTTCATGGTAATTATTCGGAAAAACTCTTCGCTATGGTACCTTGACTTTATGAATCTAAGCGCAGCACTAGATTGGCGACAAGGTCTCATCGATTTATCATTGAAATGTCTAGAGATAACCGCAAGTTCTATGCTAACAGTTTCTTCTATCACATTTCTTACTTGTAGAACTCTCTTCCATCTTCTTACTTTCCAGCTAACTTTGATCTTCAAAATTTTTAAATGCAATGTCAATCGTTATCTACTGCTTTCTTGATTCCTTTTCTTTTATTATTCTCTCTGATTAATAATGTTTCTCTTTTTTCTTATTCTTTAACACTGAGAAATCTCCTGTGTCTTAGTGGCTCCATTGCCTTGCATGGTTTGATATGATTAAAAATGTACTAAAAAGAAGAACTAGACGATATGTCAGTAAGGACAGATAGCAATAGAAAAGAACAGTCTGTTCCCGTAGATTAAATGAAAGGATTCAATTCAGAATTCCCTGTAGGTTATCCAGATCGACATACACCTGATGAAGATCGGAAGGCACAACGGCCGAAACGTTATAATAACAGCAACAAAGATGACGACAACAATTCGAATTTAAATAGTGTAAATGATGATAACTCCTCATCCCAGAAATTCAGACAGAAAGGGCAATTACTTTTTATTCAATTATATATTCACCATTTTCTGGAATGAATTATGAATCAGCTCTTCGGCTTACGGCCACATTAACTGATTCGTTTTATGGGTCATCAGCCCTTTTCAGGTTATTTAAAGCCAGATTTTTTTTAGACTGTAAAAAATAATAATGATTTAGTGATACAAGTCGAGGGCACGATGGAGTAATGGATAGCGGCTCCGATTGAGGAATCGGAGAGCCGAGTTCGAATCCACTACATTCGCTTACGTGCTAATACCCTTGGGAAAGGTATGAATCCTCGTCTTCTCTCCCCAAGCTATGGGTAAATAGCAGGACAGACCGGGCAGAAAGAAATGGCAAACTACTGCGGGAAAAAATATACCTCGTCAATCCTATATCATATAAGAGCATATATTACGCATGTCAGATAACTGACTGATACAAGTCTTGTTATTAATTAACCCATGGCTAGGGAGACAAGAGGTGGATTTATACCCCCCCCCCAAGGGTATTGGTGCGTAAGTGAATCTAATAAACCCAACTGGAATTAGAACTCGTCATTACGATTAACAATTCCGAGCCATTATCCATTACACCACCCGCACATCCAAGATTACAGCACCTGGTATCCCCAAGCGGTCACCCATTTAATTACTGACCAGGCCCGACGTTGTTTAACTTTGGTGATCGTACGGGAGCCGGTGTTTCAACTTGATGTGGCCGCAAGCTCTCACGCTTACAGTACGTCCGTAAACGTTTACAATCGAATATTCAACTGTCGTGAAAAATTCAACATTTTTAAATAAAAGATAGCGTTGATGTTGACTTACCTTTGGTTGGCAATTTATCGGGATTTCGATGGTCAGTCCATTGATAGACGTGTGATTGTTAATGTTTAGGTCTTTGTGGTCGTTCATCTTCCGTATCCGGATGAGTGTAACCTGGCCGAGAGTGTCTGGCTGGACGACACCGTCCCTTATCAATTCTCCAGGTTTGTCGAAAATCTTCATCATAGTAGATTTGAACGAAACGAAGAATTCGTGTGGGGAGATTTATTATCGATTTTGTCCTGTGAGTCAGATAACTTATCAGTCAGGAGCCGAAAATGTTCCAGAACAACAGAAGCTGTTGTTGTTGTTGTTGAAAGTTGTTGAAATTCAGTTTCAAAATGTATGCAGCAGTATTTATTGAAGTAGGTGAGAAAATTATCTTTTTTATTTTGTTTCTTTTTTGTAAGAGGTTTTTTTTTTTTTTTAGATTTGAAAGAAAAAAATATTAGACAAAGGAAATGAGCAATTCCACTGTTCGTCTCAATTTGATTTATTACCGTATTTTTTTCCGTGAGATAGGAAACATATCGGTCAGCAGTCACAAATATTCAAGAACAACATAACGTTTTGAGAGTTGTCCAAATTCAGTTTAAATATGTGCGGTAATATATATTGGAATAAGTTTGTCTTTTTGGGGGTTTTTTTTGTCGCAAGATATTTTTTAAGACGTTTGAAAGATAAAGAAAATTTACGTCACAAGTCCAATTCCAATGTCCGCTTCGATTAGATTTATTAGCGAGAGTGAGTTAGAAATATTATTAAAAATTTGGCTCGTCAGGAGTTATAAATATTACATCTTTTTTTTTTTAATGAGTTGCCTAAATCGTCTAAATTCAGTTTAAATATATACAGTGGACTTTACTGGAGCAGTTGTGATTTTTTTTTTTTTGTAAGATTTCTTTTCTTTCGTAGATAACTTGAAACAAGAAGAAATAATACACAAGAAATAATCAGTTCCAACGTCTATCTTCACTAATACAACAAACTCGAATTTAGTCAATGATGGAGTTTTGAAAGATGAACTTCCCGCTCGAAGATTCGAAACAGAAAAGAAAGCTACTTAATACGTTCGTACTTCTACAAGGAAAAAATAAAAAAAAGTCTATTTGGTTGAATAAATATCTCGCTGTTATAATATTATTTTTTCTTTCCTGAACACTTTACTTGTTACAGTTAACCGACTTTAAAAAACGGACCACAAATGCTGTCTTTTAAAGATGAACAATGCACGATGCTTTAAAAAATGGTATAGAATGGTTATAAAAACATTTTTTTCCTTTCCTCACAATATGTCTGGCATTATTGAAGGCGCGTTTCATTTACCTTCCTTTTATTATCGCTTCCACACACGAGGTTATATGACAAATAAAAAGGCCTGCCTCTTCAAAACATATACTTATCTGTCAAAATTTTCCAACTCACCTCTTTATTTCAACCTTCCTAAATTAGCCGCTGATTAAAATAAATTAATAACAACATCGATGTGGAACTGGAAAATTGTCGTGACGCTTCCTTGTGATGTCAACGACTCTAGCTTTTCATCGTATTGTTATTTTTGTTCGTTGGTTTGTTGTTTCCATTCTAAAGAAGTTTAGTCAAAAAGTGGGCAACCGGATCCACCCTCCTTAAAATTACTTTGTGGGCGGAGTTTCTTTGCTGTGATTTAATATAACGATTTTAAAAGATGACTGCAGAGAAATCTATCTGCTGGTATTTCTAATTTCAATTCTTGTTCGAATTAATAATCTTTAATAATTCTTTCAATCCATCCACACACCCACGCATATATATATATATATATATATATATATATATATATATATATATATATATCACTTTTTTAACCATGTATAATAATTTTCTTTTATTAAAATTACAAAACAACTACTTTTTAGGACCAATTACCATATTGTAGTATATATATATATACACACACCAGTTCATATATATATATATATATATATATATATATATATATATATATATATATATATATATCCTACAGCTCATATATATATATATATATATATATATATATATATATATACAGCTCATATATATATATATATATATATATATATATATATATATATACTATATATATATATATATATATATATATATATATATATATATATATCATATATATATATATATATATATATGAACTACTACAATTCAAAGTTTGTGGCCACACCTGATAATTTTTTTTTCAACTGACCCCAAACGTAGTAGTTTGTACTTTAAATAAAAGAGAATGGTTATACATCGTTAAAAAAAAAGAAAAGTGATTTGTTTATTGTGACGAAAACGAAAAAAATCGTTTGATGATTAAATGCTACTCGCGTCAAAATATCCTCCTTTAGCCTTGATTACTGCAGCACAGATTGTTGGCATTCGTCACAAATGTTTCTCAAAGTTTAAGCTTGATAATTGTGGCAGCTGAAGTTACTGGGACGCATAATGAGGAAGAAGGGCTTGGAGAATATGATACTCACGGGTCGAATAGAGGGAAGGAGAGACAAGGGAAAACAACGCAGATTTACCTAGCGGTCTTTTTTAAGTGGATGACAGAACGTGGTCTGGAGGAGGTGGCAGGTGGAAGGAACTTGTTGAGAGCTGCAAGAGATAGAGGGAGGTGGAGAACCATGATCGCCTACGTCCTGAAAGGACACAGCACATAGAAAAAAGAATTGATTCCATTCTTTTTTTCAATGACTCTAAGAGTTCTTTTACATTTTTTTCACACTTCTGTCAAGTCCAGGGGTTGGCTTCAAACTTTTGAACTGCATATATATATATATATATATATATATATATATATATATACGGAGTTGTTTTTTCTGTTTTCTTTTTGAATTTGTAGGTCTGATGAATTGGATCGTATTTACGATTCCAATGGAATAAATTATGACCATGGAATATTAGTGTTTAAGCCTTTTAATATATATATATATATATATATATATATATATATATATATATATATACCACTTCGAACGAATATGTATATTTATTAATATATATTTCTGAGTTCTGTCTAACCACATTGAGCACTTTTATTTACACCTTAAATTAAATTGAGTAAATATTTATTCACTTACCTGTGTATGCACGCTAACGCAGCTATATACGGTTGCTAAACTAACATCTAATTATTTGATTTACAAACGTCAATATATATATATATATATATATATATATATATATATATATATATTATGTATACTTTAATAGTTATACTCGACTGGTGTGAAAAAATGCCGAATAGTACAATTTGCAAATAAAAATATATTTAAAAAAAACTGATATCAGGAAAAAAATTTAGACAAAAGAAAAGACTGAAAACGTTCGTGTTCGTCGCCCCCCCCCCACCGCAATGCCTAACCAAAAGAAAAAAACGATCGAATAAAATAAGAAAAAAAGTAAAGTGCTCACTACGCTAAGTAGAGTAAAGTATAAAAAAAATCCTAGTTAGCCTGGAAGCACCTACCAACGGATCTCTATGGCTAAATAGAGTCAGCTGTTATTGATGCTTATCATGTAGTAGGATTTTTTTAAATGAATAATGAATGTGCACATGCTCCATTACGTATAACTTAAGAAAGTGCTCAATAGAGTTAACTAGAGCTAGAATTATTATGTATATTTTAATACCTATACTCGACTAGTGTGAAAAACACTCCGGATAGTACAATTTCCAAACATTTAGCCATGCTAAGCTCTGAAGATCCGTTAGGTGAAACTTTGGTAGTTAGTTCCTGGCTCACTAGGATTTTATATATATATATATATATATATATATATATATATATATATATATATATATATATATATATATATATATATATATATATATTAATATTATAAATATACACTTACATATGCAAAATATATAAATATATATATTCCTATATACAACCATAGGTGCAACATAGGTGCATACACCTATTGTAGGTCTGATGAATTGGATCATTTACGATTCCAATGGAATAAATTATGACCATGGAATATTAGTGTTTAATATATATTTTATTATATATATATATATATATATATATATATATATATATATATATATATATATATATATGTATGTATGTATGTATATATATATATATATATGTATGTATGTATGTATGTATGACATGTGCGTGCGTCTATATATATACAAGGTTCTGCAGCAGTAGGTATACAACAATTATTATACCAGTGTTACCAGTAATTATTATACCAGTATTATAATAATAGTTCTAAGATTCATTTAATTTATTAAAATCATTTTTAATATTTTATTTTCATAATTTTTATTAAAATACATTTATTAAAATTATTTTAATAAATAATTATAATAAATGTTCTTTCAAGTAAAGTGATAATTTAACAATAGCTTATAATTTAATGGAATGAAGTGCGAAAATGGATTTTGGAACGCTACTGAAAGACAGACAAGCATCAATGTGTGTAATCAATACAATACATTTTGTACGCACGTTTTTTTCTTCATTACTATGATATATACTAGGTACTACCATCGCTAAAAAGAGCATATCATATTGAAAAAATGCCCCAAATTTAATAAAAACAAAGTTTTATCTCAAAATCTATTGTGAGAAATGACCAAAGAATTTTGTGATTATTAAATTATAAAGCGTGTTTAATTAAGACGGATCAAAGTCAGGAGTAAATAAATCAATGTTACTGGATAAAAAAATTATTTATTTCTTTTTTGGATCATGTTATTTAAGTCATGGCAATTATGTGTGAAAAATAATATCACCACAATATCCGCCAAGGTTTCAGCGGCACATTTCCAATGATCAGAATTTTTGATGACGTTTATGCATAGTTGCTCCTCGATCTGACCAACATGCCTTATTATCACATCCTTCAGCTG